GCAAAATTTGCTGTAATTTTAAATTTAAAGTTAGAAAAATGAATGCTATTGGCTTTTTTAAAAAAGGGGAAGAAAAGGAACAAACTCTGTCATCATTTGCAACGGAACTGGGGAGGGTTGCATGTTTAACCACAAAGAGGTTTCAGTTTCCCATAATGTAATTTTGTGGGCAGAAATCTTATTTTTGCTAGACACACCAAGTAAGAGACATAACCTGATTCCTTATACATACACATGCTGGTTCTAACGCTTAACTATACATTCCCTCTTTATTTCTCACAAAAGGCTGCAAAAAACACTAGAGGTTTTTAAGAAGAGATCGGTTTTTAAGAAGATAATTTGTCTGATCTCTGAGGCAGGCAAAAATGAATAAGTTAATAATTCCTTTTTGCACGGGACAGGAAATCTCTTGGGGGAAAAATATCATTCCGGCTAGATTTAAACCTTCCTCTTAGACGTGCTAAATTTCTGGCTGCAGGAAATGTTCTTGTATTCATCATTCTTCATCCTGAGGATCATGTGATCTTATTGGGCCCGTACAGGTTTTTCCATGAACGAAAGAAGAATGAAGTCTAACTGAGCCTGTCAACACCTGTAGTCGCAGTCCCGAAGACCATTGTTATTTCTAGGAATTTAGTGACAAATTTTGATTTCTCCTTCATATTAAGAAAAGTCTAGAAGTTTAGAGCTCATTCTGAGCCAGCCTGCGTGGTTTTCCTTCCCCCGCCCTTTTTGTTTACTGAATAAAGTAGAAGGGGGAGGAATTAGGGTAACATAGCTATAAAGAAATTTTCTCACAGTTAGGACAATTAATCAGTGGAACAACTTGCCTTCAGAAGTTGTGGGTGCTTCATCAATGGAGGTTTTTAAGAAGAGGTTGGACAGTCACTTGTCTGGAATGGCATAGGCTCTCCTGCTTAAGCAGGTGGCTGGACTAGAAGACCTCCAAGGTCCCTTCCAGCTCTGTTATTCTGAAGTCTCAGACTTTTGATTCCTTTCCCAAAGTTACATGCCAGCCAGTCAAGGTCAGATCTTGCAGTCTCCTAACCATAGCAGGCCCATGACATCATGATGCCAGGCTTTGATAAAATCTGCAGAATTATTCTTATTAGTTAGGGACTTCTGCATGGAATCTACAGTAGTGGCCAAAATTGTGGAAACCTTTTGGGAAAAGTGTACAGTAGAAATGCCACCTTTGGTTAAGTTTCCATCCATTTTTCTTCTAATTTCTTTATAAGTGTAGCCTTGTTTACTTAATAATACTATTTTACATCATTTTCTGGGCAACCAGTCAACTCTTTGCACCATTACTTTAATTTTATTATGTTTTACAAGCTCACTAAATGAAAGAACACAAAATAATCCAACCAATTTGCTAGCCATCACATCAAATGTCCTCCTCTCAGCTTCAATACATGACATCAATAACTGAATCCTACTGTGATCTGACTGGCTCATTGCCAAAACAAGATGACACCTGATTGGCTTTCTAAACACTCATGCTCATTGGCTACAATCAGATGAAGGAAAGCTACCTGATATCAACCTAAGCAAGTTGTGCTTCCTTTTTCTAGTTATTTGGCTATAACGTTTCATAGAATACAGTACAGATAATTGAACAAACTATGTTGCATCACATTCGTGATTGAATTATCTTTCCATTGATATATAATTTTATGGTACTACTCCCAAAACAAGTGGTGTTATTAACCATCAAACCTCAAAAATACACTTTTCCCAAAAGGTTTTCACAATTTTGGTCACTACTGTAGCATTAGGTACAGTACCCATTGGGGTGTCTCTGCTGTCATTATTAAGGCGTTCTTAATAGCCTAAAAGAAATTAGGATATTACCTTGCTTGGTATGTATGCTTTTTATGTAATGCTTTTCAGTCTGTGTACTGTTTACTGATGTTAATAATTTACTGGTGTGTACATAGTCCTGCATGAACAGAGAGATAGAATCAAGATCAGGTGAAGTGTTAATACCACTGTACAATGCCTTGGTAAGGCCATGCTTGGAATACTGCATCCAGTTTTGGTCGCCACAATATAAAAAGATGTTGGGACTCTAGAAAGAGTATAGAGAAGAGCAACAAAGATGATTAGGGGACTGGAGGTTAAAACATATAAGGCAGTGTTTCTCAACCTTGACAATTTTATTGCATTGCTGGCTGTGGAATTCTGGGAGTTGAAGTCCACCTGCCTTAAAATTGTCAAGGTTGAGAAACACTGATATAAGGAAAGGTTGATGGAATTGGGTATGTCTAATTTAATGAAGAGAAGGAGGAGGGGGGACATGTTCCAATATCTCAGGGGCTGCCACAGAGAAGAGGGAGTCAAGCTATTTTCCAAAGCGCCTGAAGGCAGGACAAGAAGCAACGGATGGAAACTAATCAAGGAGAGAAGCAACCTAGAACTAAGGAGAAACTTCCTGACAGTTAGAACAATTAACCAGTGGAACAACCTGCCTCCAGAAGCGGTGAATGCTCCAACACTGAAAGTTTTTAAGAAGAAACTGGACAGCCATTTGTCCGAAATGGTAGGGTTACCTGCCTGAGCAGGGGTTGGACTTGATGACCTCCAAGTCCCTTCCAACTTTATTTGTTATTATTATTAAAGAGTACAGAGAAGAAAAACAAAGATTATTAGGGGATTGGAGGCTAAAACATATGAAGAACACTTTCAGGAATTGGGTCATGTCTAGTCTAAAGAAAAGAAGACTAGGATGACATGATAGCACTATTCTAATATTTGAGGGACTGCCACAAAGAAGAGAGGGGGTCAACTTATTTTTCCAAAGCATCAGAAAGCAAGACAAGAAACAATCGATGGAAATTAACCAAAGGGAGAACTAACCTAGAACTAAGGTGAAATTTCCTGACAGTGAGAACAATTAACCAGTGGAATGTCTTGCCTTTAGAAGTTGTGGGTGCTTCAGCACTGGACGTTTTCAAGAAAAGACTGTACTGCCACTTGTCTGGAATGGTATAGGGCAGGGATAGGCAACCTTGGCTCTTTTATTTGATTTTGATTTTGATTTTATTAAATTTATACCCCGCCCTTCTCCCGGAGGACTCAGGGCGGCTTACAGCCAGTTTAAAACAATGGTACAGTACAATACAAAATTTAAAAAAGATTAAAAATAACTATTCAAATTTGGCCGCTTCTACTAAAAATTTAATTTAAAACCCCTTTAAAATACCCCTAGGCCAGTCCTG